TTCTCCTTACGTGCTTTGTTGCTGAGACGTCTTCTGCGCTTCCTTTTTTGTACTACAAAAGAGCAAAGCTGAGTTAGCAGAACTCACTTTAAGTAAGAAAGTACTAAAAGACTTAGCTCAAGTAGCGGTGCTTGGATAGAAATCTGCTGCTCGCAGAGTTGGGAAGTGTATCAAGTGAGCCAGGGAAGTTACATTACAGCTGCTCAAATTGAGTTGCCACTGAATTGCATTGTATACTGCTGCAAATGAGTGTGAGGTTTACTAAGTACAGCTGCTCAGAGATAGCAGACGGAATCTTGCCAGGCAGTAAGGTCGTGGACCCGACGGCGAGTTTGCTCCAGCAGCTGCCTGCAGTGCAGGGACACCCAGGGTTCGTAAGATCTTCCCACCGCCGCTGTATATTAAGAGCCAGCCCAGGCAGAGGGGGACCTTCTGTCCAGCATCCCTCTGAAAGGTCGTATTTCAGCATCAGATCCTTGTCTATGTCTGCAGCAGACCATTTCTTGTCTGGGCAACTAGCACCAAGAGAGCTGCTGCAAAGCTGCTGTTTTCACCGCTTCTGTTTGATATTGAAAGCATAAGAAAAAAGCTATTGTGATGACATGATCTTCTAGGGCAAAGGTTTCTGGGCCTGTGTTTCGCTTTCTTTCACCTGCAAAGCTGACTTTGTCCTTCTAGACCAATAGAAGGCTTTGTTGCAAGGAGATCTTGTTGCCTTTGAGACTTTAAAGGTCTTGTTATAGAGGGCAAACTGGCCAGAGGCCTTAGCTGGGCTTAGTCAGTCTGCCTCTTTCCACTGGCTACTGAGCAATTGTTGATGGACTTCATCCTGCAGTTTAGCCCCCTCCTCCCCTGCATTTAACATGGAGTTATTGATGACAGCATCCTAGGAAATACCATTTACTGAAGATTGACAAGGTATTAGAATTAAAGCCCTACTTAGATTTGGCTTGGGTTTTTGTTTGGGGTTCTTTGGGACTAGCGAGGGGGGAAATTAGTCACTATCAAACTGTTTATATGAGAGGCGTTATTAGGGTAAGTCATCGTAAAGACTAAAGCTTCAGCTCATATCAGTCAGTAAAACTTCACTGGTGTCAGTAGAGCAAGCCGGGTGAGGCTCATGGAAAGCTTCCCGCATCACAATAAAATTTGGTTAGATGCTACTCGATACCTCCTGACATTGGTGAAAAGTTTAAACTGTGCTCCTGGCCTTGGCTAATAGTTTAAACTGCGTTATTGTGGGGACAGATTTTCAGCAGTTTCTGTCCTCTGGGTTTAAGGACGAAGTTTCATTTAAGTGAAATGAAATTTTCCTGAGGAAAAGGTGCATTTGTAGATATTATAAAGCTGAATCTTCCTTGATGTGTCGGTCATTTTTAAGGGTAATGACTAGCCTGGGGAATCCTTATTTCAGTGCATTGCTCACATCTGAGAGTGACACGGGCGTTCCTAAGTTGTGACAGAAACCCAGGTCACACAGTTCGGTTTTTCTGAGCCAGAAGCCAGCAAATCCGTAGACATCTGTGCTGGCCACTAGTAACTGATTTCAAGACGATTTTGCAGACTGAATGATCTGAAAACTCTTCAGAGCCATTTGTGCTTGGAGGTCGTTCAGTGAGAAAATAGCACCACCTACTGCAAGTACTTAGTCTTGGATGTAGAGTTAAATACTAGGAGTGGCTTCTTGAGTTTTGCTTTTAATCAAAACTATATATTCCTCCTGTGTCTGTTTCACGCCATCTAGGGTTTCTTTATAAACAAAAGCAGCTTGTTTTGTGTTCCGCTACAATATGCCGATTTAGAACAGGCAGTATTTGTTAAGTGGAATTCTTATTAAAAATTCAAATCAAAACTTGTCATTCAACATACAACAGTGATTCAAATAATAACTTCTTTAACAGGCGCTCATGAGACATCATAAATTCTGGTTCCTAAGACCGATGTACTTAGTGCTCTGCCAAATTACATATTAACCTTATTATGTTAGTGATTACAGACCAAGCAGAGGTCAGGTCCTCGTGTGTGCTTGGTACAAATGTAATAAACAGCCGGTTTTGGCTTGAGTAGGCTCAAATTCAAAGAAAATCTAATTTCCCTGGGCATAAGTAATAGTTAGAAACTGGATGGGTTTGGTACGTTATTTTTCAGCTATTGGGAACTTATGTGATCCACGATCAGGTTGGGCTCAATGTGTAAACAAGGGTGTCTTCCATAAATGATTTGGCCTTTTTTCCCTGTTTCACTGAGAAAAGCGTATGGGGTTTTTTTCCCTAATTTCATGAAGCAATGCATGTGATATATTGGTGGGGAGAAGGGTTCTGTCTTTCTAGTGAGACCGATTCCTGCTTTTTTAATGTATTGGTTAGAATATTGATGAGAAAAAAATGTTTAGAAGAAGAGGCCACTTAGATTGTTGGGGTGAGGAGGCAGAGGGAGAGTACAGTCTTTTGCTGGGCTTACCTGAATGGCGTTAGCAGTTGGGATATCGCAGGCTGGAAGCACAGAATGTCACCCAGAACAGAAAGCTGTCAAAATCTTTGTAAGATCAGTACCGGAAATGATGTCTTCACTTGCTTGGGCAGGGGACTTATTCCAGTGTTTTGAGAGTGGAAGCGGGGAGGCTGTTCTTCCCTACTCCACGGGCATCTCTATGCTTGCCATTGCTTGGAATTAAAAAAAAAAAATAAAAAAGAAGAGCAAAACTCTTGAAAAATTCTGTAAATTATAACTTCTCTTCAGCCTCTGGAGAGAGTTTTGACACGCCATGATGTCAAAGAAGCATTTAACTCTGTGTTCCCTTGTTTTCCTAATGTGTTGGGTTGTTTCCAGCCCCTTGGGGGGCTGCAGACCATCCCTTTGCTTTACTATATTTGACTTTTCCATACAGCCTGGTTTTATAGCTCTCAATAGCACCTTAACATTTGGATCTATACTTCTCTCATTCTGAAGTACAGATGTAACTGCAGTCCGAGCAGGAAATTTTAAAACAAAAATTAAACCTTGCCCCCAAGCCTTTCTATTGCACCCTACAGGGAACTGAAGTAGCCAGCCATCTGTTTTCACAGGTCAGCCTGTGTTAGGAGTGCATCTTTGGGTTTGTGCAAGATACCTGTGGTTAGATTGACTTCTCTAATTTCACAGCTGCAGAAACCCCACTGTCCCCCGCATCCCTCCTAATCGATACAGTAACATCCCGACCATGAAGAAAGGATTGTCCTTGGCTTGTTTCCCTCTTCACAGAGGCAAGTGAGTGCAACAGCTGCAGAAACCCCACTGTCCCCCGCATCCCTCCTAATCGATACAGTAACATCCCGACCATGAAGAAAGGATTCCTTGGCTTACCCCCCCCACCCCCCCCCAAACCCAAGACATTTTGGGTTGGCTTTCTTTTGGTTATTGGGGTTGCTCTAGTACTGTCCACCTACCTTCACCTATACTAGTAAATACTTTCTAACTCTGACCGGCATGAAAATTGGTGAAATGTCCTAGGCGGAATGACTAAATTTTTCCCAGTGTAATTGAAGCAGTCCTGGGCCTGATGATTCTAGAGTGAAACTTCGGTTGTGATTAGTGTCTGGCTTAGCCCAAAGGCTGTCAGACCAGCTTGTGTGTCTTTAGCTCATTATCGATGGTGCATCGTCTCTTTCTCCAGAGCCGAGATCCAAGCTTTAAACATGATTAAACAGTGATTCTATCCTGGTGTTTCTTCTCCCCACGTCTTTAGAGGTGAGCCACATTCCTTCTTTGTGTGCAAGGCTGTTGTCAATAACTTTATACTTCCTTCTGTGCCTAACTCCAGCCTTGCCGCTGTGAAGGGCTCTGGGTCATGAAGACCCAGTTGCACATGCAGAGGTCACTGACCACTTGAGGGGCCAATAAATTGGTCTTATTGTAACAGAGGAATGGTTAATATTGAGAGAAAACATCCTTTGTAACACAGGATTTCAGTTTGTCTTTTCGTTTAGCTTTTGAAATATGTAGTACTTTCTATGTTTGCTTACCTGGTTTGCATCCTGATATACATAGGTAGCTGTACCAAACGTTACGTGGTTTTGGGTCCCTCTTTAATAGTCTCTTTGACATCTTTCGAAGCTAAGAGTAAATGCCACCCAGGCCCCAAAGTCCCTGTCTTGTAGGTGAGGCCTGGATCACAGTGGAGCAGAGTGGAATGTTTAAAGGAACCAGCCAGGCTTTTTTTGCATTGAACAGCTTGGCAATCAGAGCTTAAGTGACTTACCTGGCAGTACGCTTGAAAGCCTGTGGCAACACCGAGAATCACGGCCCGTTTCAATCCAGGTTTTTCCTCTTCCTCACTGCCACGTTGAGCCTCTACTAGTAGGGAAGAAAATCTTTTCTTTCTAACTGAGGCTGTGGCTCAACGGGACAATGGAAGTTTACAGACAATCCAGTGCATAGTGAAGCCCGCAGGAGCCTTTCTCCAGCTTCAGCTAGGTCTGGGCTAAGGCATGGTTCAGTGCATTGATGTCCCATTGATGCCCCACTTGTCTTGGACAAAGAAAGACAATTCTTTAGTCAGGATAGGGCAGCCATAGTCACCTAAGTGCATTTTGAGAGGGAGGGGGTTGGAAATGTTACGGAAGGAGGAAAACAAAAGAGCAAAACCTCACTCTGGCATCACTCGGATTTCTGGATGATAGATGAAGTCTTTAGTGCATCTGTTACCGAGGTGTGTTCCTGTGACCTAGTTTGTTTCCTGAAGTCAGAGGAGTAGTAATGTGTGAGGGAAAGGAGCAGGAAATGTATGAGTATTTCTGGATGGAGATAGGTATTACAAGGAAACCAGACTGAAAGTGTGCGATTTACGGTCACCAGTTTACCAGCTTGGTTATTTTTCTGAATAGCGACCTAAACCTGTTCCCACAGCACTGCGTGAAAATTTCCCATGAACTTAACATATAACGTAGAAAGTAATGCGCTCGGTCCTTTCTCTATAACATTTTGAAATGCCCATATTCTTATCTAAGTATTTCTTCTTCTAGGGAGCCCTGAAAGCCAGGAGATGTACGTTTTTAACTTGACGTCACTCACCGAGTCTGAAAACGTCTTGTCAGCTTCGGTGTATTATTATATTGGTGATCTGCTGCATGTTAAGTGGAACTGTTCCCAATCCAGAGGCTGTTCTCGTCACGGGCACAGGGAGGCTGAGGTTCAGATACATCTTTCAGTTTGGACCTTTCCTTTTGTTGGGAACCACACTCGGAGCCTGGGACATTTCCTAATAAATGTCTCCGCTGCTTACCAGGATGTCCTTTCCTGGCAGTGGAAGGATATCACTCATCTCCTTCATGAAGCGAAACAAAACAATGAACTCCTGATCAGTGTCAAAATGGATCTGACCAGCCATCACCCCTGGAAAAGGGCACCTTCTCGCTATGAACCCTACATTCTGATTTATGCCAATGATTCTGCTATTTCAGAGCCAGAGAGTGTTGTCTTTAGTTTGCAAGGGCACCGTCATCCTCTGGCAAGGGTCTTTTCCAGGCCAGAAAACCACGTGAGGAGCAGCCTCGGGAAGCAGCGGCGAAAACGCTCCACCAACGTCCTGTTGCCGTTGCAGAATAATGAGCTTCCAGGAGCAGAGTACCAGTACAATGAGGATGAGAGATGGGAAGACAGAAAACCCTACAAAACCTTCCAGCCACGGTTAGCAGAGAGGGCAAAGAGTAAGAAAAAGCAGAGGAAGAATCATCACCAGAAGAGCCAGACTCTCCAGTTCGATGAGCAAACGCTGAAGAAGGCGAGGAGGAAGCAGTGGAATGAGCCAAGGTATTGCGCCCGGCGTTATCTCAAGGTGGATTTTGCAGACATTGGCTGGAGTGAGTGGATTATTTCCCCTAAATCCTTCGACGCCTATTACTGCTCAGGGGAATGCCAATTCCCAATTCCAAAGGTACCGTCTTTATCGATTCTTTTGCACTGTCTGTTACCATAAACTATGCATTTTCTTTCCTGTGTCAGTAAAAGGCAACTGGTCACCTGTTACATGTTCGGATCTAGTAAAGAAGTGATATCTTTGTCTTGTGCTGCAAGGAGTAGTGGTTAGAACAGCTGGTAAAAAGATAGACTTGTAAAGGTAATTAAAAAAATATTACATGGTATTAGTTTTTTGTCCAGAACCCAAATTGCCATAAAACATTTCCTGAATAGTGCTTATGATGTGTGAACTTGTTATTAACCTGTTTAATAAACGTAATACAAGCCAGATCCAGAAAATGGCTTATTAGACAGTAGTCGTTAATGCCTCGAAGGAGCGTCTGCTGCCAGACCCACTCTGGGGTCAGTCAGCATAGCACACTCTAGGAAAAACCTGTGCCTTAGGAGGCACAACTGTCACAATGACAAAGAGACTCTGTGGAGCTATAGGAGCGCTTGGGATACTCTAAGTGTAAGCAAGAGAGTCAAATTAATCACCTCTGTGCAGGCCAAGTGGATCCAAAAGCAGTGGCCAACTGACTTTTGAAATAGCCTCTGTTTTTTATGAGATCGTTGCATGTGAGTAGCAAGAAAGGGTCATGTGCTCCTAGCCCGGTGGCTTAGGTGGATGAGCTCAGCTCCTTAAAATGAAATGCCCAATGTCATTATCAGCATTATATGGACCCCCCTGGAGTCTACCGAAACCTGAAAGTAGGATGTGGTATTTGAGGCTGGCCTAAAATGAGGGGTACGCACAAATAATGCCTACAGGAAATGTCAGTAAAGATAGGGCTTTTGGTCTCACTTGTAACCTCACGTTCAAGAATCTTTATTCCTGCCACAGTGAAGCCTTAGCAGTTAGTTGCGAAATTTATGTGGCATTTCAGTGGCTTAAGGACCCAAGGGAGCCACCCTTTGAAAATGACACGTGGAGAAATGTACCAAAGGGGATGGAACCCAGAGAAAGCAAGCTGAGGAAGGCAGGAGTCTTTCTTTGAAGGAGGAGATGACTTACCTGACTACCTCTAACTGCAATGGCAGGCTTTCAGGTTTTGGATTAAAGGAAAAAATGAAGGGGAACAGGAAGAGATAGAGTCATTACCTTTGAATACATTGCATTGGGCCTTTTACTTTACTGTTAATGGGAACTGTGCTCTGTCAAACCAGTAACTCAGCATACAGGTTAGAAATTTTAAAAGCGCCGGACTTGGACTTCTTCCATTCTAACTTTAAGGACACATAAATTATAAAAATGCCTGCTGTATCCCTCTGCTTAAGACTGGGTTAGCATTTCTAGTTGCAGCTTTAGTTAGAAAAACTTCATCCCAACCATAAAAGTGTTGCTCTGATTTTTTTTTTTAGGAGAAAATGGTACATGATACTTAAACCGGAAGAGTTAAAGTACTCCAGCAAAGGAGTACCTCTGCTTAAGACTGGGTTAGCATTTCTAGTTGCAGCTTTAGTTAGAAAAACTTCATCCCAACCATAAAAGTGTTGCTCTGATTTTTTTTTTTAGGAGAAAATGGTACATGATACTTAAACCGGAAGAGTTAAAGTACTCCAGTTCAAAGGAGTAAAAAAAAAAAAAAAAGTGTCTCCAGTTCAGCTGATCCTGGCCCCTAAAATACTCTTCACTTAAAATGAGACGCCTGCTATGGGATACCATCGGTATTACAAAAGAAACAAAGCAAAGAGTCAAGTACGCATCAGACAATCAGTGATTCTACTGGAGGACAATTTCAGTCAAGTTCTGTATTTCTGATGATAAGAAGAATGTGTAGCAGCTTCTTAGAAAGGCTTCAAGGTGTCTTGTTATAAGTCGAAAAGTGTTTAGGTTCCCGTTGCCTAAGGTTATTGGGTCTGGCTCTTTCGGCTCTCAAAGTAGTAAATGATAGCTGAGGTGCTGATGAACTCGCGGGATCTAGCACTTGCTAGAGAATAACCATTTCAACCCAGTCACTAGAAATCTTTTTTTTTTTTCTTCCATTTGGCAGACATGCAAAATAGGTTTCTACCTTCTGAGGCAGAAAAGCTCTCTTTTAATAGTCAATACATAGCATATATTTCAGGGTTAGCCAATGCCTGATGTGGAGACTGGGAAGAACCCCCCTTTGCCTGTAGGAGAGTCTGGATCAAACCTCAGATTGCTCAATAATCATAGAATAGAATCAAAGAATCATTAAGGATGGAAAAGACCTCTAAGATCATCGATTCCAACCGTCAACCCAACACCCCCATGCCCACTAAACCACGTCCCTAAGCGCCTCATCTAACGTCTTTTATCATAGAATAGAATCATAGAATCATTAAGGTTGGAAAAGACCTCTAAGATCATCGAGTCCAACCGTCAACCCAACACCCCCATGCCCACTAAACCACGTCCCTAAGCGCCTCATCTACACGTCTTTTAAATAGCTCCAGGGACGGTGACTCAACCACTTCCCTGGGCAGCCTGGTCCAATGTTTAACCACTCTTTCAGTAAAGAAATTTTTCCTCACATCCAATCTAAACCTCCCCTGGCACAACTTGAGGCCGTTAACGTGCATGCTCAAGAGCAAACAAGGCTTTCTCAGAAACAGGTTTCGATGTAGTGGTTTTAGAAGCCCTTGTTACTGGTCTCTCCTTGCTCCGACTGAAATCTGTTCCTGCCGAGAGCTGATGGGAAATAACAAATTTAAGACAGAAAGCAAGTCTCTCTTAAGAGTTGAGGTGAGACGTTGAGAACACAGATTGTCCAGCAGCAAAAAGCATAATGTATCTTCATGGAGATGAAGAAACTCTCAGAAATCCGAAGTAGAGTAACGATAAAGAAGCACTGTAATAAAAAGGTTCCTATTCCTTACACAGAGCCTTTGTTAGCACCTGCAACCGGGCAATCCCTAATGTGCTCCATAACCTCAGGGCTTAATTCCCAGAGTAACTTCAAACCTCTGGAAAGAAACACAATGAGCCGTATAAATGCTCCTGCAAGTAAAGCGTCCTGAGATGAGTTTAGTACCAGTGGTTCTGAAGAGGCAAGATGAAGTTGAAGTTTAAACTTAGGTTTGACAGTCTGAGGCGTGAGAGGGAGGTACGAACAGTGCACACAGCTGAAGGGTAGTTAACAGGTATTGCTTGGGTGAAAGAGGAGTTCCAGCTTTGTCTGCGAGTTATCCATCTTTGGGTAATTCCCCTGAGGTATTATACTGGGCATCAAAAGATTTTCTAACATATAGAGCCAAATTTTTTTCTGCCAAATTCAGGTTCTCCTTTCCTGCAGATAGTAGCATTGGCCTCTGAGATTTCGTAGTTTAGCTCCATCTTCTCAAATAAGTAGACTTGCAGTATTGGCTACTATTATCATGGTAACTAGGTCTAGCAGTCCCAAAGGAGTGTTCTTCCTCCTCCTCTTCATCCCTCTGCTCTGCCTGGGATAGAGACGTACACACTATCAGAAGTGGTGCCTGCCCTGGAAAAAGCTTATAGTAGAAAAAAAGTGAGAAATAAACAGGAGACATGGGTAGGCAAATGTCATGGTTTAACCTCAGTTGGCAGCTGAGCACCACACAGCTGCTTGCTCGCTCCCCCTCCCCCCGGTGGGATGGGGGAGAGAATCGGAAGAGTAAAAGTGAGAAAACTCATGGGTTGAGATAAAAACAGTTTAATAATTGAAATAAAATGATAATAGTAATAGTAATAATAAGAAGAAGAATATACAAAGCAAGTGATGCACAGTGCAATTGCTCACCACCCGCCGACCGATGCCCAGTCGGTCCCCGAGCAGCGGCCCCCCCGGCCAGCTTTCCCCAGTTTATGTACTGAGCATGACGTCCCATGGTATGGAATGTCCCTTTGGCCAGTTGGGGTCAGCTGTCCTGGCTGTGCCCCCTCCCAGCGTCTTGTGCACCTCCAGCCTGCTCAGTCGGTAGAGCATGGGAAGCTGAAAAGTCCTTGACTAGTGTAAGCATTACCTAGCAACAACTAAAACATCGGTGTGTTACCAACATTGTTCTCATCTTAAATCCAAAACACAGCACTGTACCAGCTACTAGGAAGAACATTAACTCTATCCCAGCCGAAACCAAGACAGCAAATAAAGCACAGAGTTTAAATGTCTATGCTCACGTGAAGCAGAAGGTCTGATTGCCATGAACTAAGCCTGTAGCGCAGGCCTGCCAGGCCATAACCAGGACACCAGTTTTCTTCTACAAATTCCTACTAAGAGGCCTAATCCGGCCTTTCTGTGTGAAACTCTCTAGATTCAGTTGGGTAAAGAACTATAGCAGCAGAGCATTATAGTTATTTAGACACTGCGAAGATGAGTATTTGCTGCCATGTGCTGCAGAGAGCGCTAGTTTGTTAAGAGAGCAGGTTACCGAAACCCGTTGTGAGTCTGATTCCCTGAAAGCAATTGGTTGATTTCCGTCCTTGTTGGAATTCAAATTGTTCCTTTTGTGCGCTTTTTTAGTCGCAAAAACCAAAATGATCTTGTTTTCCAGAGAATGAAAAGCGAAATTATATAAAAAGGTGACGCGAGCGTCTTCTAGAGCCATGTGTTATTCTTGAGCCGTGCATAATATCTGGTGTTACTAATAAGACCGTGTTTGCAAAATGATACTATAACCATCGGGTAATAGCAAACTAATCTGTGCCTATGGGTATATAATGTTCCCTTGCTGAGGGTGAGCTCCTGAAGTTGACAACCTGTTGGGTAATTAAGAACAGATGTGCCTCTGCCCCACCCCCCACCCCTTTCAATCCCCAAATTTTCTGGCCTTACCCTTTTCCTGATTTCAGTTAGCTGGTTTGACTGCTGTCAAACCCACGTGTGTTGGGCTTGCATAATGCCGCAGAGCATACAGGCCAGGCAGACCCTGTCCCAGGTCAGGAATGAAAACTCGTAACTGACATCATTTGCCCTGCTCATAATACATCTCTAACGAAATTCCAACAGGGCAGCAAGTCTCCCAAGGATGCATGCAGCTCAGCAGATGCAGCCTGACCCACAGCTGGACTCATTCACAGATTTGGCAGTTTGGAGTCAGCTTGACATTTTTTCCTCCCGATGCTCCTCTCGCCCCCCCCTGCTTCTCCCTTCCTAAAAGAAAATCTCTGCCTGCTTTTCATGACCATGTGCTGGACAGAGCGTAGGCAGCCCACAGGCAGTGGCCCAAGTCACCCACCTTGTGCAGGGCATTATGCCAGTTCAGTACTCCGAGGGGGATTTCGGTTTTCTGAGAAGCACACGCCTTCGGATTTTACTCTAGTCACAGTTAAATTCCCACTGGCAGAAGCAGAGTTACACCAAAGCTGGTTATCCTCAAGAGTGCACCTGAAGGGCCAGGGGCAGCGTCTTGAAGACAGACTTCAAGTCTGTGCGGAGGATGTTCTTATTGTATGATACCCGTATCAAAGAGAGATACTTCTTTTATCATACAATGACAGACTGTATCCAGGCTATTCCTGCTGACAGCAGAGGCAATACTTGAAATCAGTTCTGTACAATTTAGCATTTTAATGGTACAGATTCCACATCTGAAGGGATGGGTTTCCGACGAGACCTTAACACGGCATATTCGGAGACCTGTTTTTAATTCCAGTACTACTGGCAATGGGAAGTAGGGTCTCAACAGATGTTTTACCTTTTGACGTCTGATCAGCAGGCTCAGGAGATCTGTTTGGCTCCCAGTTATTTTTGTGGAGAATGCTGCACTGCAGCTGAGTGAGGAAACAAGTCTGGATGCTACCGAAGCTATCACTTCCTTTTGCAGGCAGAAATGATACAGAAATCTGAATTGTATACTAATCTAAGACATTTTTTAAATCCCTATCAACTACTGCTGAGGAGTATAGGTATTCTTGAATTCAAAACAAACAGAAATGTTTTTATTGAGATCAGCTACCTAGATGTAATGTCTTTGTAACCATGCTGGGAAACCTACAGTCATTAAGAGGATGCTGCAACAAGCTTTGTGTTTGTATTTTAAACAAAGTATCACCACACCCCTGCATCTCATTCATGTGATAAGCTATGATAGTAAACTTAAACAGCAACAGGGGAAAAAGATCACACTCTGTATAATGTCTGCGTTTAAAAGGGAGTTCGATCCTGAGTTTACTTGGGAAAATTCTGAGTCTCTCAGAGGATAAACAGAAGCAAGGGATGTTCAGGATTGGCACCGTTTGTCGCCCAGCCTTCCTGCAGGCAAAATAGGTTCCTCATGAGAAGAAGAAAAAACACTCAAATTATGTCTAACATGTACATAAAGAATAGCTGAATGCTCCCCAGTGAATCCTTTTCAGTTCTGTGTCAAATGGTTCCAGTTCTCTCTTGAGACTAGGTTCAACAACATGATACTGAAAAAGTTCATTCTGATCCATTTCTGTTGGAATTCAAGGAACAGCTGTCTCCATGAGAAAGAAGGAGAATACAGCTGACATTAGTCGTGAGCTATGTTGCCGTGAGTAGGGACAGGCTAGACATCCGTGTGTATTGCCAGCAGAATTAGAAGCAGTTACTCCTAAATGTACTAACATGCTACACAGACGATACAGTGAGCCAGAATCTCACAGTTATTCCTCTGCTTTTTGCATGCAAGGTCATTAAGACTTGCAGCTCAGGTAGGTAGATATCTAACCCTTAAGACTGATTTTTCCAAAAGCAAATCATCTCTCGCTGCAGCAAAACTGCCAATTGCACATTTGGCCCAAATGATCTTATTCCGTCTATTTCTCAGTGGCATCTGACTGAGCATATTGGACTGTGTGATTCCTAGGTTCTACGTGTAAGAAGAGCTCTAAAAAGCATTGCTAAAGTTTCGCTCTTACAAAACCAAAAGTCTTTGGCTAAAAACTGCATCTTGTGCGTCTTTCATGCTCGCCTATCTTTCGTACAGATACTTGGATTTGGAAGGGTTTGAGGGTTCAGAGGTAAAACTTAGTATTTTTCATTTCTATGAATATGTTCATTTTTATTTTTATGAGTATATTAATGTATTCTGGTTTTGTGAACAAATACAGTTACCTCACTGGTCAGATTCACTTTTTGTTCATATCAAACCGAAGTGTGTTCCTATTTACGTGAGTATAAATCCAGGAAACTTTGTCCTTTGGAGAAAAATGTCACCTTAATATGAAGTACAACTGACAAGGGATTTGGGGGCTCAGTTACTCAGCAACGTCACTGATGGTGTATACTACAGATGAGAAGTGATTTGGCATGGAAGAATAAGCAAAACAACTTAACATTGCAGAAGAGCAAACTGGAACAATTAGCATCGTGGCGTAAAGTACTTCCGTTCTCTCATCTGTACACATCTTATCTGCTTTTGTTTTTCCTGACGCGCTTGCGTTCCACCAGTCAAACTTCCCAGCCTACAAGTTATGTTTCTTTTGCTCCCCTAATGACTCAGCCTGCTAGCACATTGACTGCCTCCCTCCCAGCCGAACAAGTTTTATGACTAAATTGCAGCCCACGTGTAACTTAATTGACTCAGAAGAGACTACCTTGATGTACAGGTACGCCTTGCTGCAAGGTCTGCTGCTTGGGCATTCTCCTGGGAAGGCACGTCCCACAGAGAGCCTGAGGCCCGGTCCCCAGCAGGACACTCGAGCTGAAAGCGGTGGCGCGGCGCTCGCATCCAGTGGCCAAAAGAACCAGACCAGATTCGCATTCCCTGCTGTTGGCTCAGGGCAGCTACGGTTACAACTGGAAATGGTCAAGTAGAAGACAGATTTTACAGCTAGTCAGCTGTGGGGTCTCTACAGGGCCCTTCTTCAAAAAACCCGTTTTGTTCTAGAGTATGTGGGTCTATTCTAACATGGGTGTAGTTACATTTTCTGCTGTATCTTTCTCTTGCAGGCCTTGAAGCCATCCAACCATGCCACCATCCAGAGCATAGTGAGAGCCGTCGGGGTCGTCCCGGGCATTCCTGAGCCTTGCTGCGTTCCTGACAAAATGTCTTCTCTTAGTATCTTATTCTTTGACGAAAATAAAAACGTCGTTCTTAAGGTGTACCCCAACATGACAGTGGAATCCTGTGCGTGCAGATAACATCTCGGGAGACCCTTTTAAAATGCTGAGGTGATCACTTGCTTATTGGGGGGGGGCAGGGGGGAGAGGGGGGAGAGGCGCGTGTTTCATGATACCTACTTTTTTTTTTGCACTCCCAATGCATTTCCTTTGGACAAAAAAGAAAAAAATGTAAAGAAATCCAAACAAAGAGGATGGAAATGGAATGGATTCCGAATAGCAATTCCAAGGAAAGAGAATACGAACTTCATTCGTCTCTGAATTTGACCAAGACACAAGTCTTGGCAATGGGGACTGACTGTTTCTGTTGAAATCAAGAGATGAAAGAGGAATTTGCAGAAGACTCTTCAAGATTTTTGAGACTGCCAGAAGGACATAAAGACTCTTCAAGATTTTTGAGACTGCCAGGAGGATAGACTGATCTATTTTTGTACAAGATTTTAGAAGCAGCGGTAGCTGTTAATTTTTGTCTCCGTTCTTAGGGTGACTAATGGGGAGGGAGATTAGAAATACACTATTCTTCATTTTAACGCTAAGCTTTCTGCCTTAGGTTATTGAGTAGTGCAGCAAGGAAGAAAAACAAATCTGAAAGCCTAAGAGCCTTAGATAATCCAACTTGGACATATATCTCCTTGGTATGACATGTCACCGACTGCATGTGTGTATTCATTTTCATTGACATATTCTTCGTAATTCAGCTTATTAGATGTCAGTGCCCTCGGTTGGAAGAACACAAAACACATTACTGCTGCGTGCGTATTTGCGGTATCTCAAAAGCAAAGACTTTTCTTTCATGCCGCTATGGAAACTCAGCAGGCCAAGGGTATGAAAGTATCACACTCAGTGAAGCGGCTGAGTGACTTGTTCATGACACGTATTCTAGAACATAGTTGCAAATAATCTATGAGTAAATCACGGTAGTTGATTCCTGGCGTGAAATTATTTGGTGCATAATTCTTATCTGTAGGCCTTCACTACGATTATTTGATCAAAACTGCCTCCGGTTGGTAAGTTTTGATTGTTACAGTAATCAGAGAGTAGATTTTTTTTTTTCTTATCTCAGTTCACTTCTACTCTGAAAATCAAATTTGTTGTGCCTATGCTGTCCATTTAAGATTTCTTACTAGCAGGTTTTGCACAATAAAAACACAAAACATTCTTTCAATGACTTTATCCACAAAAAATTCATTAGAGGAACTAGAAGCAGGAAAGAAAACATTTTATGAATCTCAGGCACAGCTGCAAAAAGTTTGTTCTGTTATGGAGTAAATGTTCACAGAAGTACTGTAGACGGAAACCCGGTTCCGTTTCCAGCAGCACAATCTATAGAGGATGATGTTTTTAAAAGCACTTTTGGCTGGTGAGAGCGATGTTTTAGTTTGCGCTAAGAGTAAACGTGAAACAGCCTTTTCCATAAGTTACCTATGTAACCGATTCTCTGAAATAGTGTATTTAAAGGGAAAGTATTCATAGGGCATAAATTAATTCCCCATCATCGTGAGAGTTATATTCTCTACTTTGGAGTCAGCAATTCCTCAGCGTATTGAAGGTGACAACGGTTTTCCTACGTACATGCCTTTTTGCAGCTTCATAGCTATTTGTGGCTAGTTTAAATGCTCGGTCATGGATTTTTGTATTTGGTCACTGGTGCCGTCATGTTTACCAGCCTGAGTAATGTGCATGTGCAAGGGTGTGAGAGGTGTGGAGGCGGAATAGGGAGCCTAGGGATCCTTTCAGCGATCACTTTTGACCTGCACAAAGTCTCAGTGGAAGCTGACAGGAGTTTAACTTAAAAAAAAAAAAAAAAGAAAAAAAGAACCACCAATTAGTCCCAGATGCAAGTTACGCTTACGGCCCTTTCCTTACCCTGCTGGAACAGCATACCCCTGCAGTCAGATTCCCAGAGTGCCACCGGATACATGTTTATTGGCTCCAGTTAAGCAACGCTAATTAGCACCGCTATCCAGCTTGATTGCTGTATGTTAGGATTCCAAGAGCTCTGTAGCAGTGTATTGCCTTGAAGGATCTGTTCCCTGGAACTGGAAAAGAAAAGTCGCCATTTCTTGAGAACAAGTGCCATCTTCAGCATATCAAAACCAAGCACTAAGTGTGAAGCTGTGTACATTTAGATCAAGGGTCATTTGATCCACTTCCATACGCAGGAGAAAAGTCAGACATTCTGTGTGCAAATTGGATGGATTTAAAAACAGGAGGCAAAAAGCTGTGCTTTTCTTCTGGCTGAACAGACAGACAGTTGCAGACGACCAAGAGCTTTTTACAGCTGTGTCTTGCTAATGAAAAAGAGTGTGTCTCTCTGGTGCGGAGCTGCGTGGGCTCCTGTCTTGACTTGAAGGACAGGCAGAAGTAGTGATGTGCACAGGCTGCCCATACCGTAGGGCTCACCTTTTAATCCACCGGTCTGTTCCTGGGCCAGGTGTCATTAGGACATGTGGAGAATGCCACTGGCTAAGCTGGAAGCAGGCTCGGATTTTCAGCAGACATCAGGCCCTGCAAGCAAAAACAGATGCAGTGGTTTCCAATAGTTGTCTTTTGTAAGAGCTGCACAAATAAGTCCATTGTTTATACGATTCAGTGTGACAATGGCTACTGTTAAAAAACACACAAGCCAAAACAAAAACCCTAACTAAATCTAATCTTCAATTTGTAGAGAGCTTGTGGCAAAACAGATTTCACAGAGCTCGACAAGCAACCTCAGCTTTGTGCCAATACGTCCCATGTCTTTGTTCAAGGTGAGCTGGCTGGTGATGAGTAACACTCTTATCGCCAAGATCATTTCCTTCACAGTATTTATGAGGCTTTTGAGGGGTGTACCTCTTGTCCTGAGTAGAAAGGTGGGAGCTGCACAGTAGCCCTCAAGAGCTGGATTTCTCCTCGCGTCGCCCTGTGCTAGGATTACAGCACGTTGCTTCCTTAGAATAGCACCAGACTACACCTTCCCAAACACAGTGCAGAGGAGAAAGTACTTCGCAGCTTTCTACCTCCCCACGGGAGGGCTGGGGGGTCATCCCACTGCAGATGAGACTGCTGCCCGGAGAAGGGGGAAAACGCTGGGGGAACAGGGACCCCGCAAGGTGAGGAGTCGCTGGGCCCCAGCCTGCCGCTTGCTGGGGATGAATTGGAGCGGCTGGCTCTTGGGCAGAAGGTCAGGACTGAGCCGAGCCCAGCTTGGCCTGTGAGCGGTGTCTGGCACAAGTAGTGCCAGCAGCAGGGCTCCTCAGAGGAAAACGCAGAGGTCAGACGCACCCTGGCCCGCCCCTTGAATGGTAGCAGAGTTACCCAGATCAGAACAGGGTGTTGGCAGCCAAGCTTCCCAACTTTTGCACTCCAGAATAGAGGCGCTAACTAAATATAGGTGTTTCCCCAACACAGCAGTCTGGGGCAGCTGTACTCTGAGTCGCTCCCTGGGACTGAAGCCAAGTTCAAGGCTATAGGCAATGCTTTCTCATCCTAGTGCTGTGATGAGACGGCCTGGAAGTGACCTTAAAAGCATCACCCAAAAATGAGCGTGAATATGTTACGCTTGGTTTTCACTGGGATACAGCCAGATATTGTCATGAACCGTATCGTGTAGAACAGGTACAATCTTCCAAGTAAAATGTAATCTGCCTCTTCCAACTCTACGCTAGGAGTCTTCTCTTCAGTTAGCCATATAGAAGTGAGACATTTTATGCCCACGACTTGTTCTGCATTTGTATCTCTAAATGAAACTTTCTACATAAAGCCATGTCTAGCATCAGTAATGTATTAATCACACAGGCAACGATTTCTGTATATAACTTTGTATTAGTAGGGACCTCAAAATAATTTCCAACTCATGTTATTAGTCACCATTTTAATCTCAAATCAGCACGGGGGGCTTTTCCCACCTGTTCTGGTTTTTTAAATACTATTAATCGATAAATGGCTCTGCTTCCCATCTAATTATGTAGTATCTGATGCCCGTGCGTTATTTTTATGGCTGGCTCAAAAGATGGGCAGGAGAATGTCTCGAGCTACCTCTCGCCTCTCGTCAGATAGGCTCTTCTGGGAGCAAAGTCCCCGGCAGACTGTGAGGAGGCCACTGCAGAAAGCTCTTGAAAATCCCACTCTTGGAGGCTGAATAGGGAATCTCACGGTAAGTGTGCAAAATACAGAGTGCAAAATAAAACTTTCTTATCCTGCAATGCGGTACCTTGACCCAGGAGAATTGCCTGCTAGAACCAATGATGCTGTTCCCCCAAACAGGGTCACCAGGCAGGCTCTGTTTTTTCCTTTGTCTGGGGGCCCTGAACTTGCGAGGAGCAGAGCGCCTTTCATGAGGTGCCGAGCAGCCCTGAGGTTGCAAATCACTGTGCTCCGCTGCAGGGCTGGCCCAAAAGCTTTGCGTGCTCATCTCTGAGGAAAGGCTCAGCAGTTTGCAGGAGACTGATGCTTTGTTTAGCGACACATTTCTCCTTGTAAAAACAGCCTTTTAAAATTATTTCTGTTTGAAAGGTTAATCTTTGTACAGATGATGTCGATTTAAAAAAAATTAAAACTACCCCCAAAAAAGAAAAGTTATTTTGTATATGGAAAGAAACTTTTACAGATGCTTTTAATTTATTTTATATCTGTGGCCATCTTGTCCTCTTAATGTTGCCTTCGTTATCACAGTGCTCTTTAAACAATACAATTCTCTCCGTCGTTGCAAAGATGAAATGCTAGGACCGTAGTCAAGTTCGCAAGGACAGGACGCAGCCACACTGTGAAGGGCATGTTTCACTACTGATGTATAAGCTTGCCTGATTTGTATTTTTTTCCCTTCAATAATGGGAAAGTTTCACTAGGAGCTCTGGAGAAACTATAAAATAAAATCACTTTTCACATGAAAATCCATTTTTTCTGTGTCGTAGTCAGGTCTTTCCAAGACCATTAAAGTTTTCGCTGCTTTCTGTGTTCAGCACTCTGGAAATGCATCCATCTCAAGTGCTCGTTTGCAAAGGCCATTCAAACAGAGATTGTCTTTATAGAGCAAAGTACAGAGTGGCTGGGGA